CACATTTATGACTTTAAAGACTTTGTGGAATTAGAACATTTTTGCCTGAAAAATATCAGACGGACCAGCAAACATAAATATACCTAACAGAGTGTATTCTGTTATCCCGCGCAGTCACTGTCTAGACGAACTGTAACCCATGACCTGTCTATAAAACATCAACATATTTTCTTTTTGAATTACAGAATAATTGCAGTTTCGATGCTGAAACCCCAAATGTCTGATGAACAAAACTATTCATGTCTACAAACCAAGTTTACCGTTTGTGTGAAAACATTCTGCCGGAATGTCCACGTGATTGTATAACGTCAGCCGACCGTGTAGGGACCAACAGGTCTAACAAGGTCTGTTGTTCAGTCGAGATGGCGGCTCAGGTGAATTTGACCGAGGAGAGCATAGACGAGTGTAAAGACGTTATGGAGGCATTCGACATGCTGGAAAACTTGAGTATTCCCCCGGAAGAGATCGACGGGATAGAAAACCTTGAACAGGCCCAGATGTTACTTCTGAAACAACTCGCCAGGACCTCAAATAGGACACTGTGGACACCTGAATCTGTACGTATGTACCCACCGTCTAAGACGAGCAATCATACACTAATTACTACTGTTAGTGTTTTCAGTTGAAGATTCGAGGCCATAGAAATGCTGTTAATTTAATTCAGATCATATTGTTCTCAATGTATACCTGCATTGTTCGGATTATGCATGGTATGTAAACTGTAAATTACACGACACCATCGTGCATTTGGCAATATTTCGAACTAGTAATTATGAAAGTTTGGATCTTTATGTTCGTTTGTTCTGCATGAAAGGGGCTTTGACCTGCCGATATTGAATTCCGAGCTACAATCAGACTTTCTGCCACTTCTAATCTCCCAAGAGTCCGATAACTGTCGCTCGTTGACTACTACTTGGGCTTCTTTCCCACAATTTTCACAACATTATCTATATTATCTATATTCATCCGTCGGTAACTCCATGGCAACCTAATGAAGTTAGCCAGAGTTGACAATAGGTTTTGAAAAGAAAAGCCTCATAGTTGACTCTGTCGAATGATTTGATTTGTGCAGAAAGACGTATTTGGCAGATTGGCACGGACGTCATTCACTCAACCCTTTCCTTTCACACAGTTCAGTGTCTTTTTCCTGTTCGTGTATTTACAGACAACTGAGAACTTTCCTTTTCGGACAATGATTTGGGCTAGTCTATTCAACCTTAGACACATCACGTCATGTCTACTTTTGTATAGTTTGCCATCTAAACTGACATACACATAGGGAGCCCCTTTCCAATCTTTCCAATTTCCATCCTTGGACACGAAGTACTCACGCTTCACAGTTAAGCCCTCCCCCTTTCATTTTCGGAAGCTATTGTCAGTCTGCGGAACGCCCACCTGGTGCTTTGATGTATCCTATCCGGACATCTTCGGACAATGTTAGGGTCTTAGGTCCTTAACTGATAAAGAATTGTTTCCTGATAAGTTTCTTTCTTTACAGTCTGCTATTTTAAGAGAGAAACGTAGGACACCGGTCCGACTACAATGCCCAACAAACTCACCTGAAGTCCGTGTCAACAATCTGTTCGATACAGATAAAGCGTGACGGCCTTGGGGGATACAAATAGCAAGGTCGAAGTGCACACTTAAAATGCTCCAAGCTGAAAAGGGAGTCAATCTTAGCTCATGCCTGTATTTTATTTTTGTTGTTATTGAGTAGGAACCAAATCAGACGTTGATGAAATGCCTACTATTACGAAGTTTGAGCTTTAGGTACAAATTTCGCCTTCCCATGATACCCACCATATGGATATGGGGCGTGGCCTGGTAAACCTGCCATATCACAGATCAAGTCAGGACAGGCGAGATGGCGGCCTCGAAGGCTCAGGTGAATTTGACCGAGGAGAGCATAGACGAGTGTAAAGATGTAATGGAGGCATTTGACATGCTGGAAAACTTGAGTATTGCCCCGGAAGAGATCGACGGGATAGAAAACCTTGAACAGGCCCAGATGTTACTTTTGAAACAACTGGCTGTAATGTCAACTAGGACCCAGTGGACACCTGAATCTGTACGTAGCAAGTATATCCACTTGGCAATGTAGTCTATAGAAATAAGCCATATAAAGTAAGGCCGAATGTTACAGTCAAATCCTAAAGCATGTGGAACTTGTGATCAAAGACAATCTTATAATGAGTTTGCATCAAGAATTTGCTGTAATATCTACTGCATACGCCGTAGCGCTTAGTGATAGTTACTTGCAAGGCGTTAACTAGTAACTAGTATTAGTAAGGTTAGGTAAAGTAAGGTAAGGTAAGTAAAGTAAGTTAAGTAGTAAGATATACCTGCGTCAGTTGTGTGGATAGTATGCACGGCGCGTATGTGCCACGTCACCTTTGTATATGTTCAACGATAAGGTGACGCGGTGACGCACGTTTGACTTGTTTGTGCGGTATCATGAAAAGCCCCGCCCCTTTCACTTTCGCACAGGGTTTGACTTGTCAATATTGACTCACACATTTACATGCACAAGGAGTCTTCACGCTACTAGTATTTCTAGTATCTGACAGTGACCAGGTCGGGATTCTCGCTTCCTAAGAAACACCAGTTCTTCAGACAAATTTCATTAGAAAAGAGTTGTCATTAGAACAGCCGAAGTTAAATATTATGCTCTTTTGTGACCTCCCTCCCCTTTCGTTTTCGCACAATGTCTGTAGGTTATGTGGCGGGAAAAGAATTTTTACGCATGGGCAAGAGTCATTGAAACGTGAAGAATGTGGGGGTAAAGCTCCTTTCTTTGTTGTGGGGCCTTGTTAATCTCCAAGCAGATCTCTTTCGGTGCAAGACATCCATTAGCCAGAGAAGCTCGCCGGTGGGGGTAGCGACGAAAAAAGAAGCCATGTATAAAAAGCTAACGATCATTCCCCCACAATCTCTGCTTGGAGAATAGGGCTTTGCGGGGGTTTGTCTATTCATGGAGGTAGAAAATTCTACCTCCATGGTCTATTTCAGATCTGAGCTCGAGGCGCGTCTCACATACAGCAAACGCTCATGCCCGTAGCCAGGGGACGACCCCCCCCCCACAAGGCTCAAAGTTCCACTTTTTGCTCCACTTTTTATATAAAGGTCCAAGATTTTTCTTTAAGAGATCGACTGATTCGTATTACAACGGGGCAGGAATTGTAGAAAAACTGCTCACTCTCTCATTGAATAAAAAGTGATCTCTAGTTAAAAAAAAAAGGAAATGCTGGCTACGAGCATGACGCTAGCAGTCCTAGAAGGGAGCTTTAGGTCAAACCCCTGTTCATCACTTAGTAGAGTGAACAGTTTCTATCACAAAGTTTAGAGATATTATGACAATTATTTAGGCAGTCTGTGATCAAATGTGAATGCCGACTGCCATGTTTGAAAGCTTGACTGAATTTCCTCGATATAGCGCCCCTCTTCGATTGTCTACTATCCACTGAAAAACTAAGAAAAGTCCAGAACTGAAAAAGGTTGGACTAGAGTTATTTTTGGTTTATCGAAACTCTATTGTTTAGTCTGACCTCCTCACATTGGCCTGGCTTAACGACATTGATTTACGGTTAACGATTTTGTTTTGACGCTTAGTTATTTGTAAGGTTATGTATTGTTGATGTGTCGATTTCATTGTTTTCATATGTCACTTGTTGTTACAGGGCATTCCTGAAAAGCAGTGGTTTTAAATAGCACTGAGGTTTCTACCCTGTTTAAATAAAACAGAAATAAATAAATATATAAACAAATAAATTAGTCAGTGACCCATCTGCTGATTTGATTGTGCAGGCCGCAGGTCTTATGAAAAGTGTCCTTGAAAAGGATCGGGTCTCACGGCAGGAGCTATGTTACCACTTTGAAGAGGCTGCAGCATATGCAGAAGGACTCCACGGCACCGCTAAACAGCAGCTCGAGTCTAACATCCCCAGGTTCCAGTCTCTTCTCACCACCAAACTGGAACAGCTGAGGGATGATGCATGCCATATCCTCGTGGCAGGTAAATAATGTGCATGTTATTTAATGATTTAATGGTTATATTTACTTTCTAAGGTTCAGCGTATGTGTACTGTCATACGTAGGGCCGACGTCAACACCTTTTTATCTCCACCCTTGGGATATTTCTTCGGCCTAAACCCTTATCCCCTTTATACACGGGAGTGTGTAACTTAAGCCACGGTCACAACCCGCCGTACGTACTTCTGCGTGCTGTCTACGTGCAAAAACGTGGGCAAACGTAGGGCATCCGTGCGTGGTGAGTACCGCCTCCGTACGGAATCCTACGGATTTGGGAGCACGCAGACACGCCGTAGAACTTTAAGTGCATGTAAAACTTTTTCTACGCGTGCGGTCTGCGGATTCACCACCCGTGCGTACGAGTACGAGCGACGCGCGTGCCCCGTACGTGCCGTGCGGAAGAAGCACGTGTGAGTACGGCCTCCTTACGGTAAAGTTACAATCGCACAGAGATCGTACGTTGTAAGCACGTACAACTCACCTACCACTTGCGCAACGTACGATGCACGCAACCGCTCACGGTCAGACTTGGCGTGCGGACCACACTCTTACACTTTGCGCAACCGTGCGAGTCACGTGCGTAGACACCGCTCCTTCCCCACGTTTTCAGAAAAAACGTAGCAGACGTAGCCTCCCAAAAAACGTACGGAGAAAAAGCACGTACGGCGGGTTGTGACCAGGGCTTTACGTGGTACGAAGACCACGCACAAAGGAAGGTTTTATAATCAGGGATGCTGATTTTGTGGTGCTTATGTGGTATATTTAACTTTAAGGCGGTATTCTTGTGCAGGTGAGACATCGGCGGGCAAGAGCACCCTACTGAACCTGATCCTGGGCGAAGAGCTGCTGCCCTACTCCATCCTTAGCTCAACATCTACCATCTGTGAGCTGAAGCATGGCAAACAGGAAAGGATCAGGGCCTTTAAAACTGGAGATCCCACCAGTTACGTTGAAGTGCCACTTCAGGGTAGCAAGGACGCTCGTATGGAGGAACTCTCTAAATTCGTCTACCAGAAAGAAGGAAGAGACAATCGTGCTTTCGAATACAACAAAGTTGAGATCTTCCTGGACTTTCCATTGCTTGAGGTATTTCATTTGTTTTCAGTTTCACAACTATTATCAGTGTTGAAATTTCTCTTGATAAGACTACACTGCATTTGATTGATATTCTGTAGTGTCTGTAAGCATATTTATTTTTGCCTTTTTGTTGTTTGTATGGCATCACCAGTAAACTGCATCTCGAGGATAAATACATATTTAAAGTATTTCATCAAATTTGTGTTTCTGTTCTTTACTTTGATTCAATCTAGCGCACTATTGGAGCGTTTCCTAAAAAAAGCTAAGACAGAAATATTCTACTTTCGGAGTGTTATTTGCCTACCCATTCATGTGGTTTTGTGGACACTTCTGACTCTGACGAAAAGCATACAAGTAAGGACGTGTAACAGCACCAAGCATCATGGTATCCTGGCCCATTTGTTTTATTCTACTTTCCCCTCACACTCAGGGTGGCATCACCATAGTGGACAGCCCTGGAGTGGGGGAGAATGAGCAGCTCACAGAGATGGTGAAGAAATACCTTCCGAACGCTTTCGCGTTTATGTACATCATCAACAGCGCTAACGCCGGAGGAGTCCAGCCTGACCGGGTATGTACCTGGTTTTAACCAGTACATGACAGCACAGAGATTGGTAGAGGGAAATTAGAAATTCCTCTACCGATCTCTGGACGTCATGTACAGCAGCGGGAAATATGGCGTTTCCGCATTATATAGTCTGTTACACCTGGCTATTTTCGTATCTGGAATTAAGATAATGTCGCCTTTGAAATTATGTCATGTTGTTACTTTCCAACCAGCTTGGGGATCTTCTACAGGCCTTGACACACGAACGCGATCCTGATCAGCCGCCGATGTTCGACCCAAAGTCAGCCATCTTTGTATGCAACAAGTGGGACATGGTGCCATCCAAGGAAGCAGGCGAGGTTTGGGACGACACCATAAGGAAACTGAAGCGCTGCTGGCCTGAACTAGATGAATCTCAAGTGTTCAAGATCTCAGCAAAGAAGGTAATGTACACATTGTATGACAAGCGGCCTGTCGATATTCTACTTCGGCATGCTAATACCCGTTCCTACTAATATGGCTTTAGATGTGTTCTTACGTTGCTCAGTAGCATCGCTGACTATCTACGCCTATTATGTCTCCATCTAGCCAATGCAATTCTTTCGTATTTGCTACTTTATGTTGTAAATATTGTAGTTATGAGTGACACATTATCATTTCTGTATGTTTGAGCTGCAACGGCAATACTGTCTTAACTTGTGAGGATGCTTGCTGCCTGTAGAAAGTATTTGACAATGCAATACATGTATGTGTTTTCAATTTAAAACCCATTTATTACAGGCAGCGATGGCCCGCAACCAAGCCAACTACATCACAAAGGACTTCGAAAAGTTGTTGAATGGACTACAAGACTTGCTGCCTATCGGTCTACATGCTAAGGTCGAGCTGAACTACCGGTAAGTCATCCTGAGAGGTTTCATGTTCATAGCAATGCACCATTTGTACCTACATGTATATATGTATTTTCAACAAAATACTTAATGCCTTTCTCACTGCCCTACAGGTGGCTGGCCTATCTCCTTGACAGGTCATCCTTCCATCTTCGCGTGATGCTGGGAAACTTGGTGGACGAGGAAATCCCGGCTCTTGAGCAACAACGACGAAACATTGTGGCAAGGCTGAAGAAGCTCAGTACAGCAGCATCCTCTGCAGAAAAGAAGATGAGACGGTTTTTACAAGAGAAAGTCGACAATGCAGTAAAGGATCTTCGGCAGTACCTCACGTCCAACGAAATTCGCGCGTGGCTTTATCAGTGGGAAGAGACGGAGCTACCGGACAACGACAGCTGGGCCGTGGTGGATCATCTGACAAAGAAGTTGGTGGAACAAGGAATCCAGCAAGCAATCAGCACGTGGGATCAGCACAGGGACTTCTTCAGCAACCTCCGGTCCGAGCTGATGCAGCAGTTCCGTGCCGAGTTTAACCTTGTAGAGGAGGATATCGCAGACATCGAAGACAAGATGGCCACCGCAGGTCAGCACGCGAAGAACTCCGACGTCTCAGTTCCAGGCCGCAAAGTCGGTAAGAGCGTGTTCTATGTTCCTGAGTACAGTGCAGCAAGCCTCACTATTGGTCAGAAGATTGCTCTTGGGGCAGCCTCACCTTTGGTCATACCAATAGGAGTAGTCGTAGGCCTATTCGCTCTCCCTGCGGCGGGGGCGATGGCCATTAGAAAAAAGGTTGCCGACAAAAAACAACTGCAAGATTACAGGAAGAACAAGATGTCGTACATGGAGAAGCTCGCGAATGACACGGTCCAGAACTTCGTGACAGACGAAAATCTCCGCCGGGTCGTCGGACAACAGGTAGAGTCCACATCTGCATACATCGATCGTCTGTTCGGCACCATCCCACAGCTTATCGAGTCAGATGAACGACTGATGAATGAGGGGTACAAGTTGAGGAAACAAGAAGCGATCGCTCTCACCGAAAAACATTACGTCCCCAGCCTCGAAACGTGCGAGAAAGTCCGAGGTGAGCTTGACTGCTGCTATGTGACAACCATCCGGCAGTACGACATTGAATATGAAGACCTTGTTGAAAGAGAGCTGATTGCTTCTGGCGGCTTCGGGGACGTCTACAAGGCCAGGATTGACTCTACGGTGGTCGCAATGAAGTACATGAAGGACAGCGTCTCCGCAGAAAACGCGACAGACCTGCTTCAAGAGGAAAGCAATCTGAGGTATGCTATCTTTTGGTGTCAAGTCAAACTTCTTCCCCGTCTTTGATTGCTTTCACTGATATACTCACGCTCCAGATTTTAGCTGTTTTGTTTAGAACTTGGTACTAACACATGTATATTTTTGTAGGCGACTTTGTCATCAGAATGTGATCAAGTTCCACGGCACCGCCTACTGGGCACACCACGAGAAGGTCATCTTTGTGACTGAGCTCTGCCAGGACAATCTGAAGGAATACATCATCTACCAGAAAGACAGGTGCAAACAGTTTATACGATTTTCTGTTCTTACATTATCTATTACCAGGACTGTTCTGTCCCGCATAATGTTGATAAATTTAATACTTTGAATTTATCATATAACGTTATGTATCACACGCGAAATAGGAACCCGGGCAAGCACAGAAAAGGAACCACAGAACGGATGACAGCGTTCAACGTCATCAAACCGTTGGCTGTGCAGATGGCTACCGCACTGTGCTATATCCACTCCATGGGCTTCGTTCACAGAGACCTCAAACTGGAGAACATTTTGGTTCAGGTGGGCTCGAAATAGAAAATGCTTGCCCAATTCACATGCCTGCAAACTGAGAAATATGTAGATATGTCACAATGTTTAATATGTAATAATCTTTTGGTCACTGCCAGCAAGTTAAGAAAGACGACTAGATGCATATGAGCTTGATTAAAAAGGTTCAAGACTTCGGTTAGACATGGATTCCTTGACAGAGTATACTTATCCCTAATCAATTAAACGTCCTAAATAGATCCCTGAGACGAGTGCAAGTGGAGCAGTCATCAAGCTAGCCGACGTTGGACTGACCAAGAAGGCTGAAAACATCACCGGAACCCTGTGTGGCACCCCACCGTACATCGCGCCTGAGGTCCTACAGGAGAAACGCTACGGGAAGCCGTCAGACATGTACAGCTTCGGCATCCTTCTGTGGGAGATGTGGTACGGGGAGGAGACACCTCACGCCAAGGACTTTGCCATTCCAAGGTGTGTTATCATGGCACTTGTCATATCAAGGTAGTGGTGCAATGTGATTAAGACCTATACTAGTATTCAAGGATCAGAATAGTAAGACAAATTAATGATGATGTAGTACATAACTTCCTAAAATAGATAGGTTTTGCTACTCCTACTTGTTGCATCCTCCCGATTGCTTCCTCTGCAACCTCTGCCTCGGGAGAATGACTAGTTGCCCATGATGACATTATTTTACTTCTTTATAGGCTGAAGGAATTTTCAAAGGAAATCATGGAAGGCAGACGACCAGATCCCAACAAGGAGTTTTCTGCACCTACTGAATGGAAACAGCTCATGATAGCCTGCTGGAGCACTGACCCAGCCATGCGGCCCACTGCTGACGACTGTGTCATGAGGCTGCAGGAAATAGCATGTGATTAGTGCCAGTGTGTAGACATTATAAGAACTACATTGTTCACCATGCTAACTATAAAACTTAGCAGCAGACGTGTCCTGTAATGTGGATACTGATGGTAGATTAGCAACTGGTATTTCCGTCCTGCAAGGTTGGAATATACATGAATTATGCATTTGAACTTGCAAATTGTTTAACTACTGACATAGTTTTTATCACATAACACACAGATACAATGTATATTACTATCAATGTTTCAATTAACTTTGACAAGTTGTTCCAATATTATAAATCTTTGTTCCCTATATAACGTTAAGTTCTTTGAGGGCATACAGATGTGGACCATAGCAATTATAAGTTGGTTTTATGTATAAATGTGGAAATTTAGGATATTGTAGAAAATCATTTTGTGTTTAATTGGAAGCCAAAGTTAACTTAATGGTGCCATCATTGCATAATATGTTGAGCCATGGCTATGTTGTATTTGACAAATTGTGAAACTGAAAGGCTATTGATTGTGCTGTTAACATTTGCTGTATCAAGTAGACATCCTCTCCTCTGTTACATGCCAACACTAAAAGCCTATTAGCTGTGTTAGATCAAGATAGATAAGCCAAAATGGTAAGAGATGCAATTTCTACATTGTATATGTCAATACATTGATAAGTTTCACAGACCACCAAATGTATTTGTCATTAAACCTATACACATTGTATAAAGCAAGATTATCATTATCCAATACAAGGTAAGATCATGGGTGTTTGTTTTCTGTATTATTCAGCTACGTATATTCAATATTCTCAAGTTAGGTATCCCGTAATTAATTGATCTCAATATCTTCCAATCAGTATGTAGGTATCTGGCATCTACAGTAAGCTAAAAAGATGAGTGCTATGTTATAAAAAACGTGATTATGATAGAGTCCAATTGTAGGACTACTTTCCACAATCTTTATCTCATGCAAAGGCAAGCTTGACGTGTTGTAATTAAGTGAACACCTACAATTCAATTGTATACTAAGTACAAAATAACATTAATGTAGGTAAGGTAGGCCTCTTGATACTTGTAGTAAACTGTATCATAGTTCTCACACTCAACTCACATCTATAACCTTGACTTGTGTCAATAACTAGTAAGCTTGGATATGTACAACATGTAGACCACATTAAACCACAATCCATTTGTATACAATCAACCGACTTGGTGTTATTAGTAACTTCGACCAAGGAGACGATACACATGAATTGCTGATGATGTAGTAAGTTTTCAATATAAGTACCAACATCGGATATAAAATCATAAGGCATTCTATTATATTAAGGAAGGCACTGTGCCAAGATGAAGAAAGAATCAAATAATGAATATTAATGGCAGCTTCAGGACAATTCCATAACTGCAGATGCAGAACACAGTGGAAGAGAGACATTCAGTAAGATCAACCAGTAATGACCAATGATACACATACATCAACTTCATGATCAACAGTAACGTTAATAAAGATTCTGAAGAACTTTTAAATAGTTAACAGTTATACTTCCATAAAATAGTTCCCCTATGTTAATTACCTTCGCCAAGAAGGTTATGTTTTCAGTAGCGTTTGTCTGTGTGTGTGTGTGTCTGTGTGTGTGTTTGTGTGTGGTTTAGCAAGATAACTCAAGAAGCAGTGGATCGATTGGAATGAAACTTGGTAGGTGGGTAGGTCTTTATGAGACCTAGAAATGATTAGATTTTGGGCACCCTGGCGGCTTTCCTAGGTACTGCAGCTGAACTTCCGGTTTTGATATCTCATGTTCTGGACATGCTAGGGTCACGAATTTTGGTTGGTAGATAGCTCTTGGGGTAGGGAAGAAGTGACATCAGTTTGGGTCCCCTAGCGCCTTGTTCTGGAACTGCAGGAGCATTTGTTGAAAAAAAATTGAAGGACGATAACTCAAGAACCGGTTGACGTATTGTCGTGATTTTTGGTATGTAGGTAGTTGAAGTGATGCTTGACATAATCAGATTGCAATTATGCAAATCAGGAGCTAATTTGCATAATTAATGAGGAAATTCTATAAATATGCTTTGTTCGATAATAGAAGTATGAAACACTTGTGACATCTACTTGAGAACTAGAAAACATCTGAGGATATAGATTATGTAAATGAGGACCTAATTTGCATAATTAATGGCAAGTTCCATAGTTGTAACTGCTGCACCTCGAATTTCATACTTGCCACATTTGGAAGTTAAGTGAAGGTGAACATCAATAAACATAATTTATTCAAATCATGACCACATTTGCATAATTTATGAGGAAGTGCTATAATAGCCCTTTGTTATGATAAGGCTGTCATTGGATGGAGAATATGATCAACTGATATAATCCATGCAAATGAGGCTCTTATTTACAAAATCAATGATTAAAATTGTATAATTCGTCACCCGCAAGGGTTAACATCATTTGGCGAAGGCATGGAGGTAGAAAAAGAGATACTCCATGGCGAAGGTATGAGATCGTGGAACTCTTGTTTATTCCTAAATAGTTCATAAATCATGCAAATAATGTTTGACTAACAGTACATGTGTCTATTGATCACTTCCCCCTTCACAATAAAATACGGACAAACAAGCAAACACAGAAACAAGCAAACACACCCTGCATCAAAAACACAACCACAACCAGCCCTTCGGTTCAAAGGTTAACTCTGCAGGCTGTCCTATTGTATAAATGGGGACACGTGCATCAATATTTAAAACAATCTTGTGATGGCAGTGTTGAAATATCAAAAGATTCATGGTCAAATGAGTAATTTATTAGTAACAGGTTATCTTAATGTAATCATTTTCCCATTTTATTCAATCCCTTCTTTGTTGTACATATTTTCCAACATTTCAACACCCCCTTTCATTTAAAATGTGTTCAACCAAAGTGGCGACTTTTTTCGATTTTGCCTCACGCCAGTCGAGATGATGATTTGGGCGACGTGGATTTCACCGTTAGTAGAAGTTTAAAGCACACGTTGGTATGGTGATCTGTTGCCACATGTCTGGCCGAGTTGCTGACTGAGCGAGGGCCAATAGCTAATAGGTGGGTTGTAATTTCCTTGGCGATATTTTTAGCAGTATTGAAAAATAGATTTTTTTAAAAGTTGGTCAGAAAGTTCTTTTGTGTTTCCTTCAATGACTTTTAGAACACAGTAATTCTGTAAAATTGTCTCACGAAGTCAAAAATTGCTGTTCATCCTTGGATGAATATAAACCAGGTTGTTCTCCTCCTTTTAATAGCAATTATGAGTGAAGCTGTGAAACGCAGAGGTGGAAAACCCAACCGCGGTGGAGGAAGATTCAACAAGCCTTCGTCTGGACGTGGTGGGGGGCGAGGTAGAGGGGGGAGAGGTGGAGGAGGTAGGTTAAACTATATTGCTGTTATCCAAAATATTATGTCACATACATGTATCCAGAGTTCATTTGTTTCCTCTAATAAAGCTCATTGCATACAAGTTATAACATACCAGATTTTTTCAGGATCGTGCAGGAAGTACCGGACTGGTAGGTTTGATCCACTCAGTCACACCTTCCCTTATAATGTTATCCTAGGTCGAGGGAGAGGCAGAGGGAAGCCCAGCTTGGCTGGTGGTGGTGGGGAGGGCAGGAAGGCAGGGGCGTCTGCTGTTGCTGAGGGCTACTTGGGAGAAGCAACCTTCACTGACCTGGATTATGATGTGGATGATGACTTTGATTTTAGACAACACCATCAGTAGGTTAATGCTAGATAACACATATCTGAAATCCTTGTGTAATTGAGTCCTGTTATTTCTCAGACAACAATTTTAAGATCGAACAAAATCTCATGATTCATAACTTTGATAGACTTCATTGTATAACATACTAGTACTTCATAAATAAGGTACCTTGTATATCTTATGGTCTGAACTGATGCGATTTAGGATTTTAGGAAAATTGATTGATTGATCGATTGAGCAATTGATTGATTGGCTATTCTTTAAATGAAAGGTGATATTCACTTGTCTTGTCCCTCCTAGATCTGCTGGGCCCAAAGCGGGTGGGGCCCCCTCCTTTCATGGGCGTGGAGGAAGTTCCACAGCTGGTGTTTCCCGGGGATACAGGCCTAGGCCTGGCCGAGGTCATCATGGGAGGAAAGTACAGGTTCAACGACTGCACATGACCAATGAGAATCAGGACATGGTGCGAGAGATGCTCAAGAGCCTGCAGGGTGCAGACCTTGATGAAGTGTAAGCTGCATACTAGTACCTATTGTACTTTGTGAGGGATGGGCCAGAAGGACTCCTTCAGTCCAGATGCAGTAAAAGTGAATCAAGATACATTTTTAAGATTGTAATTAAGAAAGAAGAAAAGGCATTGTTATCAATGTATGCAGTTGGAGCTAGAAATGTCCCTTTGATCTGCCTCCATTCAGATATGTGTTACTAGTACACATCTGTAGAAAACTGATGTTGTAGCAGGTATTGAGTTTGAGGTTAGGCAAGGCCTGCTGTCCTAACATTCAGCTTTGCATTATTTACAGTGACCCAGAGGAGTATGATGAGCTGGATGTACGTATGGAAGACCAGTACTGGCTGACAGACTCCAGGATTTCTGTGCAGGAGATGACCTCTTACTCAGGGAGTGCCCAGGTGGATATACAGGATGAGGTGGGACAGGCTCGGCTGGAGATCAACAGAATGGCTCTTCAAAGACTACAGAGGTAAAGGCACAGGGTCAGCCATTGGTATGGGATTGAATGTTATAAGATTTAGGAGTGATTTATTTTTTCTTTTCACAAGGAATGTAACGTTACTAGCTGTTAATTCATGTGAGTAAGTTTTGGAATCACATAATACAATTTCACCCTTTCTACTACAATGTAACTTGAAAAAAGAATAACATGTACATGAGCTGCCATCAGGCTCCTGCCATATCAGCACTTTGAGATTGAATGACTAAATGTCAAAATGTGATTTTATTTTACCCAATGTATTAGACAAGAGCTATCCTATTGATCCAATATTCACCAGATAGATCCAGTCTGGACTGATTGGTAGTGTCTGCAGTTGTAAAATTTCCATCTTATTGACATATATGTTGCAGATATGGATTTCATGTGGACAGATGCATCAAGGCCCTGCAAGCAAACAAGGGAGATGTGGGTGCTTCCATGGAGTATCTTTACAACCAGTGCCTTACAGAAGATGGTATTAGAGTCTCTGAGAACACAGAGTCAGAAGATCTCCCCAGCATGGATGAGGCTTTGGAACAAAGAAGGGATGAGGCTGTGGCTCTTGAATCCATCTATGATGAAACCTTTAAAGAAAAGATCTCTGACAAGCTCTGGGTTTTACATTTGGACCTACCACACTTTAAGCCTATTTTAGAAGTCCTAGAGGCACAGAAGGAAGAAGGCAGAAGACCAAAATTTAAGTTAACTGATAGGAGTAAAGATGCTGAAAAGAAGAGTGAAGACATCTGTAAATTCTATCTGAAGGGCAACTGTAGATTTGGTCGAAGGTGTAGGCATAGTCATGTAAAGCCTGAAGAAGAGAGGCCCAAACACCTCATACAGGATCAAGAGGATGAAGTCAGTAGTCAGAGCCCATATGAAGTAGAAATACGGTTTCCTGCTCAATGTCTATATCCCTACCAACCACCTATTGTTGCTTTCACCTCAAACAGAATTGACTTCCCCATAGCAGCATGTCTGAACATTTCCCTCAGGCTCAACCAGGAAGCACAATCATTGGCTGAGAGTCACTCTCCTGCTGTCTTCTCATTGGTCAGTGTTTTGGAAGATGAGGATGAAATGTGGAAAGTGATACTGGGAAAGCCTCACAGGTTTAGTTTACAAGAGCCAGTCATCTCGGCCAGGGGAGCCAGTAAGGGAGGAAGTACAGCTGATGTGATGGCTACACATGGGGAGGATGAAGAGAGCAGTGACCTTCCCGAGGGGTCATCTTCTGAAGAAGAAACAAATGGAGAGGATGTCAAGACAGCTGTTGTGAAGAACAACAGATTTGTGAGACCTGTGAAGGACTTACATGTTGTGAGGAGCGAGAACAGAAAACTCAAAGACAGGTTCAAGAAAAAACAGGTTAGTGAGTTAGGAGTGAATCTGGCCTTGATTTTGAATTGTTTCCCTGTATTGCAACAAAATGTATCACTGTTGCACTTATTTTATTGGATTTAACACTGCTTCATTTGGAATTAACACTAACTGCAAATGTATGTCAATCCTGTGCAGACGACATCAGCCTACAGGTCAATGTTGGGGGAGAGGCAGAAGTTACCAGCATGGAATGAACAAGACAACATTCTGAAGGCCTTGAACGACAGCCAGGTCTTGGTAGTCAGTGGAATGACTGGGTAAGATGTCAGAAACGATATGATATTATAATGTATCAGGTATTATATAACCTGTACATTTTTGGCTTCTTCATGAAACATTCTCTGATGTTACAGTTGTGTTATCCCCAATCTAATTATCTCTGAGAATAGCAAGTAAGTTTTAGTCTAATTCAAAGATGTTATCTTTGGATCATCATCTTTCAAAATCTGTGAGAAAGTCATTTAAGTTTAGATGAATGCAATGTTACTTATTTTTACTCCGTGAAGGAGGTCAGGACCTCCGGACGGAGTGTTGTGATCGGCTGATTTTTCGTGTTCGCAGTCAAAACACTGGGTTCTCTTTGTGTAATCGGCACGCAATTTTATACGCAGTCTTCGGGCATGCCCGTGTTGATGCACGAATGTGTATTTTTGCCGTTGCAGCTTTCGCGGTCAATGTAATATTGCAGACGCACCCCTACAATTACGAGACGAATTGGAATGGTCCAGAAAAACGCGTTGTTTGGAATAGCAGTGGGGGGGGTGTAACTTCATGCAGATACGGGGTGGTTTTGATAAGTGGTTCCAGATGTTTTTGCCCATGGTTAAGAGATGCCAAGTTTTTTGGAAGATGTTCGCAGCCAAAACGCATTCTTCCGTACGTCGCATTTTTGTGTAATTTCGCATGTGGTGTGGCATTATGTCCGGGACAGGCTTTTAGCTAGGGGGTGTCCAGGGTGTCTTTTGGACGCCCTGTAGTGAAAATAATAAGAAATTGGACGCCCTACTTTTTGGTAGGACACCCTAAAGACGCCCTATTTTTTCCACTCCCAACCCCTGCCATGCACACATACCTCCCTTCAGCCTTACTATGAATACAAAATTGATGGTTTACTGAAGGAAAAAAACTCACATTTGCACCCCAAAATGCAGAAAATAGTGTTTGAGAGCACTATGAATTTCAAAAAAGCCCTCCTAAAAAGCTCGCGCACCGTGCGTTGTCATGGTGCATAGCATACAAAAAAAAAAAATGGACACCCACCAAAAAAATCCTACCTAAAAGCCTGGTCCGGGATGATGCACGTCTTTTTATTTTTACCGTAGCTGTTTTGATATTGGAGTAAATGGTTATTTTCGAAACATCCCCATGTCGTTGAAATGTTGTCGTCCGTTTATGTCACCGGTAGTAAGTCGCGGCGGGGCTGATGGGGCGGAAATGTGGGGTGGTCAGAGGTCAACATTAGGAAATGTTAATACCGATGACGTAATCCTATCGATTTCAAACTGGTCGGGTGTGGCGACCTAGTGGCGGCGTGTATTTAGTCACGTAGCAACTGGCCGGTCGTCCTAGCAACGACACATGGCCAATATTTTTGGGTTGGGCCGCTCCATAGTGTTAGTGGAGCAGCTCTTTGTAAACATGGACAATATTTTTGAGCAACCCATCAATGTGTTCTGCCTCGTGGTCGGATGTGGTCTGGGGCTGGTAAACCGCACATACAGTACTAGTAGATCGGGTAATTTTATGATTTGCTAGTTGTAAAGGCGTCGTGTAGTATGAGCCGGTATATGAAGAAGTAGCCTGTGTTACACAGTCATGCTTTCGGCAGGATTGATGTGCAACTGTTACTAATTACAGGGACTGCGCTAATGCCGACCAGTCGCGCTGTCCTGATACACCGCGAATGTGCGAGTGTTCCCTGTAGACAGTCCCGGGAGTCATTTTTTTCGCACATTCCAGGAGCCAAACCAAAATACGTTCATGAACCGAGTCCAAAAAACCGAAACGTGAAAATCGGATGATCGGACCTGATGTACATTTCTCTTTCTGTAGATTGTACACACAATACACACATCTTTAGATAATCTGGCCATGGCAGGTAAAAAAAAAGTAACCCTGAATCATACTAGATTAGCGTAAATGCATGTTTATGCGTTCAAAACAAGAAAAGAATTTGTTTCCCGGTATTAATCTCTTGAAACACGGCGCTGAATATTGACGCAAAAATATTTCGGGCATCGCGCGCCCTTCCCCGTTGTTTAGACTGTATGCAAATCCCGCGTCACGTGTCGGCATTTCGCATCTCTGATTGGTTGTTGCGTCTTAAGATGACTGAGCCGACGCGCGTTTAAACAATTTTTCTTTGTTCGATTTATCACACTTCACAGAGAATTGTCGCCAATGGCTACTTCTTTTTGTTGCAATATATAATACTTCACGGAGAATTGTCACCTATGGCTTCTTGTTTTTATTTATTTTTATCTGACTAGATGTGGGAAGACCACTCAAGTTCCCCAGTTCATCCTGGATGATTTCCTGGGCTCCAGTAAAGGTGGTCTGTGCAGCATCATCTGCACACAGCCCCGCAGGATCTCAGCCACAGCTGTGGCTGACAGGGTGGCCAATGAACGGGTGGAACGGCTTGGTAATGTTGTGGGATACCAGATCAGACTGGAGAGCAAAATGGTTAGTACTTTCTCCTTGTTTCTGAAGTAAAGTCTGTGTTGAAGAAGTTCTCTGTAGTAATTGCTAAGCTACATTTGGTTTTATTTCTACAGAATGCTCATAAGATTCTTTTTTGATGGCATGGGGACACATTGAGATATTGTCTTTTTGTGTTTTCTGTTAAAAGTTTCGTTCTGATGTGATCCAACTTTTTTTTTCCACTGCAGTCGACATGGACACGCCTGGTGTTCTGCACCACTGGGGTCCTGCTGAGGAGACTGGAAGGGGACAGCCTACTGGAGGGGATCACACACATCATTGTGGATGAAGTACACGAGAGGTCGGAGGAAAGGTAAATATTTGTCCTTACTTAAAATGAAGTCAGGATTTTGTTCATGTATGAAAAAGCAGCAAACAGGTTTTATCAAGAATCTCATAGCTAGATAAAGAAATAATTAGCACTGAAGAAAACACTTTGCAAACTAACCATGGAACTGTCCATGGTGCTGAATACCATAGGCAACAACTTCCATAATGTAGGAAAACTTTGGTCTTTGTAAGAGACTGAATGATACTAAGTAAATCTTATGTGCCCTGATCTTTGTAATTGTAAGATTTGTGCCACAGAGTTTTTATACTGATGCATTCACCTTCCCAGTGACTTCCTGATCATGGTGCTGAAAGACCTGCTGCCCAAGCGCCCTGACATCCGCATCATACTCATGAGTGCCACCCTTAATGCAGACTTGTTCTCCATGTACTTTGGCAACTGCCCTGTTATAGAAATACCTGGTATGCACCTACTTGTATGATGTCTTAGAAAACAAAATACAATGTATTCTGTATGCTTTTTCATTGTCTTATAATTCTTTGTCTTGAATGATGCATCATGTATCTTATTCTTTGTTCTTCACAGGAAAAATATTTCCAGTAGACCAGTACTTCCTTGAAGATGCAATTGACTTCACAAGGTACAATCATGATCAGCATCTTCAAAATTATAAAACCAAAATTTCCTTTATCTTCACGTTTCATACCAGATAGTTAGATTACCTTGCCATTTATAACTACAGCTTTGAGATGCTTTTTTGTATTTTATGGGCTCATGCTATGTTTTTCTTGCATCACTTGACAATCTACTGCCAATGATGATGGAACAGTCAAAATTCACATTGAATAACAATGAAGCCAATTCACTTTCATTTCTGTCTAGTTATGTGATTGAAGAAAACTCCCCGTATGCACGCTCTATGAAGCCCAGTGGTGGGGCATCCAAGATGAAGGTGTCTAGCAGGAGAGAGTTCTTTGAGGATGTCACAGAACAACTGAAGTCCCTGGAAGTATCAGGTGTCAAACCTCCCAAGGACAGCACACCTGACCAGAACCTGAACCTGCAGGAGATGCTCTACAGATATACAGGTACATCTCTGACTGATTCTCTTAGATAAGCTATACAAACATTTCTTGTCTGTGTTATATTTTATACATCCAGGCAGTCTATTTATTGAAAAAGTAATAACAGTTACATGTACATCAACAGTACAAAATAGCACAAACACATTTCGAGAAGAATTTATGATTCTTCTGAATGAAACACAAAGTGGTCAAGAATTTACCATGGACTTACATTTTTTCTGCCAGACCTACGTAAGTCTGTTGTGAAGACTCTGGCCACTATGGATTTTGAGAAGATCAACAATGATCTGATGGAGGCTTTGCTGGAGTGGATCGTGTTGGGAGATCATCAGGTTAGTTTGTCCTAATCATGTGCATCCCACTATCAATTGATCACCATCTAAAATATGTATATCATCATTGGGCCAGCTATTGAGTGTTCATTGTGTTTTACACAGTACCCCAAGGATGGAGCAGTACTTGTGTTCCTGCCTGGTCTGGCAGAAATAACCTCCCTGTATGAGCAGTTACAGAGCAGCTCTGTCTTTGGCTCCAGGAGCAAAAGGAAGTAAGTTGTAAACACTTTGAGTCAAGGGGCCATTAAAACTCTTTGCCAAAATGTTTAATTTATAGACATATTTTGATAGTCGAGATACTTGAAACAATGTTGTAACTTGCAAGAATCTGCCATACTTTTGCAGGTTCAACATCATCCCACTGCACTCATCACTGTCAAGTGAAGACCAGCAGAAAGTCTTCTACAAGCCCAAGGAGGGAACAACCAAGATTGTGCTGTCCACTAACATCGCTGAAACCTCCATCACTATTGATGATGTGGTGTTTGTTATTGATGCTGGCAGGATGAAGGAGAAAAGGTAGAGAATAGTATTCAAACATTAGTGCTTTGATGTATAGATGTCATGGACATCTTTTTTAGAGCATACGCACTTATCATATCTCTCCCTAGGTACGTTTATAGATTGCATTTCTTTGTCATATGCCTTTTTTAAGTTAAAATCTTAAGCTTTGGGATTGAAAAGGTGATAATTGTTCTCAGAGACTCAATAAGGCTGGGATATCCATTGTTATCGTCATCCTTACTGAAGAAGGGCTCAAGAGCTCAACCAGAGAAACTGTAGTCTGACTCATGCCATAATATCCCCAGGTACGACCACACCAAAGGCATGGAGAGTCTGGAGGTGACGTGGGTCTCCAAGGCCAATGCACTACAGAGGAAGGGTCGAGCAGGCCGCGTGGCCTCAGGGGTGTGCTTCCATCTTTTCACCTCACACAGCTTTGACCACATCTTCAGAGAACAGCAGGTGCCAGGTATGCAGTCTTCATCATTCTGATAGGAAATTGGCCTTGTATATTTCATGTTTTTCTAAACCTATAGTTTCATCTACACTACAATGAGATGGTTATTCAGGTGAAGCAGCCAAAAAGAGTAGTAGTAAGTATTAATGTCTTTTACACCTTTGCAGAGATCCAGCGAGCACCTCTGGAGCAGCTGTTACTCAGAATCAAAATTCTGGACATCTTCAAGGACCAAGAATTGCAGGTAGACATTTTGTATTTAACAACTATATCACATTATAAGCTGTTAGGTTGTTTTCTGTCATTGGCTTTGAAAAACATTTTGTAGTTAGTCACTTTTCCATTTTGTCCTCAGTTTTGTATTGTTTTGCTTTTCTCATTTTCTATCATCTGTAATTTGTCCGACCTACATGTACAAGCTTATCTTCTGTGTTACCTCAGCATGTGCTGTCTAGGATCCTGGAGCCACCTGATCGCACCAGCATTGAGACTGCTATTGTCAGATTACAGGATCTGGGAGCTCTAAATAGGGACCAGGTATACAATACTGCCTTTAATCTAGATGTAAAATTGATATCTCTCATGGGGATGAATTGATCTTGTTAAAGGCAGTCAATAAAATCAGTTCCAGTGAGTTACACAGTCACACGTAAGTGTACTCGTAAAAACTGTTGTGTTGCTACAGGAGCTGACACCTCTCGGGTACCACCTGGCCCAGTTACCAGTAGATGTCAGGTAATCGTATCATATTATCTATGGTATGCATTAGAACTATGGAGAATTTAAAAATCATTAAGTGAAAATACGTGACAATCAAATATTTTTTTACAATTTCACTGCTGAATTTTGACCATATTATGCTGAATGTGTTTTTAGTTGCAGTATGAACAATGTGTAGGTTACATAATCCTTAGATGTCTGTTTCTGCCCTAAGGATTGGAAAGCTGATGTTGTTTGGAGCCATTTTCCGGTGCTTAGATCCTGTCCTCACAATAGCTGCCAGTCTAAGCTTCAGATCACCCTTTGTATGTATTATCAATTATTCTCTCCTCAATTTCCTCATTAAGTTAGATTTACACTAAGGAATACTTTTCCTTCAGTAACTACCCCATTAAAAAAAAAATTTACTCACATTGCTATTGATCATTTAAAGTTTAGTAAATTTAAAATTTTAAAGTTTATTATTGTGTAGCTACATACAAAAGTAACACATCACAATTACAACTTTGTGATTATTATCATGGCATCCTCTACTGTTATCAGCTGTTAACGTAACATAATTATTCATCATATAAGGTGGCACCTTTTGACAAGCGGGATGAAGCTGACAAGAAGAAACAAGAGTTTGCAATAGGAAACAGTGACCACCTCACTCTACTCAATGCCTACAAGGTCTATCTTCAGTAATATTTTATAGAAGTTGTGAAAACAAGATAATGAATAGTATAGTTCTATTATTCTGTAAAATGAATATACTACTCATTGTATCAATGGTATAAAGAGGGTTGAATTTGAGAATATAATTTAATTTCTTACACATTTCTTTAACTGGAGTCCTGCTAAATCTGTTTACTCTGATAGTTGCTCCTCTGGAAGACCCTAAATCTCTGTTGTCTCCTAGGGTTGGACCACTTCTCTCAAACATGGCTCATATGCTGGCTACAGATATTCTATGGAAAACTTCCTGTCCATAAAGACTCTTAAGGTAAGTGTACACACTCTATCTAATCTGTGTAATAAACAGTGCATGTATAAATCTCTTCTCCATTGCAATCCTTTGGGAAGCTTCTTGAAATATTGCACCCAAGTAGTAAATCATAGTCTATAGTTATCAGGGGTGGTTAAAATATTCTGCCAAAATAGACTGACGTCATGTAACATTGCTCTTGTGTTTTGTTTGTGTTCTTCCCAGGAGATTGTCAGCATGAAGCGACAGTTCACAGAGCTGCTGTCCAGTATTGGGTTTGTGAAGGAGGGACTGACTGCCAGACAGATTGAGAGGTCCAGTAACAGTAATGACCCTGATGGGATCATCACTGCAGCAGGAGAGGAGGTCAGCAACTTCTTTATCTGTCATGGTAGACAAGATAGAAAGTAGCAAATTGTAAACATTTTGACGTGTTATGGATGACAATCAACTTTAGCCAAGATTTTTCAGACCACATCCTGTTGTGGATTCCAGATATAGAACTTGTCTGGACATCTTAAATATATTACTATAATAGATGAAAGCCTTGAGTACAATGCCACAGTCTTTCCATGTGGTTATCAGACCAAATTTGAGGGAAACCAATACTAATATCATGCTGTGCTAAAGTGAATGACATATGCCCATTGTATGCTTTAACAGACCAACCTGAATGCAAACAACCAACAGCTGGTAGCAGCTATGATGTGTGCAGCTCTGTACCCAAATGTTGTCCAGGTTCTGACACCAGAGTCCAAGTACAGCCTGACCAGTGCAGGTCAGTTGCCAAGGATACTCTTAACGAATGTCTACCAGTAATAAAATAAGATGTATTGATGTGTCAATGTAAGCATTATTTAGTTCAAGAATAAGTATGATAGCAAGTATGATAGTTTACAGTTCAGGAACAAATATCAAAATAACTTTATTATATCATAAGAGTATATCTGGGTTCAAGGAGGCTTGTAATAATATGTGTATTTTACTTAGGAGCTGTTCCAAAAGCACCAAAACCTGAGGAGCTCAGGTTCAAGACCAGAGATGATGGATATGTGGGTATTCAACTAGCTTTCTTTGAACATATTGGTGACTGAATAATCTTTTCCCACAGTTTGTGAACAGTTTATAACATACGTTTTTGACTGTTCTGAAATACATGCACTAATACCATGTTTTTTGTGTCGTAGGTATTTGTTCATCCATCTTCCGTCAACTTTCAAGTGAGACACTACGAGAGCCCCTACCTGGTTTATCATGAGAAAATAAAAACTTCTAAGGTACCTGATTAACTACTCTAGTTCTACAATTATGTGGTTTTATTACTCAACTACAAATTGCACAGTCTACAACTGTTCAATTCCTTTCAACACAAGCCTGTTTACTGTCTCCAACAGATCTACATCCGTGACTGCAGCATGGTGTCTGTCTATCCCCTGCTGCTGTTTGGTGGGGGAAGCCTGCGCATTGACCTGGAGGCTGGCAATTTTGTCATCTCCTTGGATGATGGATGGATCAGGTTCATTGCTGCTTCTCATGAGGTATGAACTATGAAAGTATCAAAATTATCTTGTTGCCTCCCATGAGTACTAGAGAAATCACTCAAGACACCAAAAGTACTGGTTATTTACACACTGCTGTGTACACCCCAGGTGGCTGAGTTGGTTCGTGAGCTACGACTGGAGCTTGATCAGCTGCTGGCAGACAAGATTGAGAACCCCAACATGGACCTCTGTAACTGTCCTAGGGGAAGCCGCATCATTGACACCATTGTTAAACTCATTACCACACAGTAAGGAGTGACAGCACCTCTCAAGTAAACATTTTTTTAACAACTATCCATAGTGAGGAAACAAGTTGCACATTTTCTTAGCCTCACTCGTGCCATTTGGTTGAGACATTGAAGATGTTATTAAAGCATGTAGCCATATTGTAACCTAATTTGTAACATGACAGTGCCAAGAGAAGACATTGACTTTCAATTAGTTTGAGATTTGTTTTTTTTAAGAAATGCACTGTCCTGTAGAACTACATCCACAGTATATGTTACATAAGATGAAAAATGTATCTCTTATCAAACCTTTCCTAATCTCTACAATAGGTACTAATGATTTGTCTCCTTATTTCACATACTAAGTAATCATATAAGTCGTGAATTTGTGATTCAAAAAGTTACATTGTGACTTTTTTCTAGTTAAGTAATAGTGGTAATTCACAGACAGCAAATAAGTCAATGTATTCTATATGAACAAAATTTAGTTTTTAACAATATATAGTTGCAAGGCAAGGAAGAAAGTGAGCTTGTTGTAAACAGGCCCCAGCAATCTGAACACAGTTTTCTGTGGAAATTGGAGTAAGAAAGCAAATGTATCATGTCATCAATATGTGCAATTTGTGTCAACTTCCAGTGATGCTGATGAAAATGAATGTGCCTTATGATGTTCCCAGTCTGATTCTTTGTACATGTAGCTTAATTAATTTAAGTTACATCAAGAAATGTTGATGGTACAAATGTTCCTTATTTGTAAATCTTAAACAAAGTTGTTTGACCTAACCATATGTTAATACTATGGAATTTAATATTGCTGTAACTAGAAGCTGAGATGCAACACAAATAAATGCTATTAAGAACATGCTGTTACTGTACTGATGTTGGTTTTGACCGAATAAGGGCCTGTATTCTACCCAGGATGATCTCATTTGTGCTCCTACAGCTTTCAGCACTATAAGGTGGCTCTATCACCAAGGCATCAGAAATGCTCAGAAGCTCTCCCTCTTTGCCTGAAACTTTGACAGGAAGACGGTTTCTCTCCAGCCACTGCTTCAGATCATCACGCCTGGTTCTTAGGTCGTGTTTGGAAAAGTTTGTGTCATCAGCTGTGACGAACATGTGATCTAGCTCTTCTCTGTGACTGTCCATGTCCTCATTGACAACAGTTATCCCCTTCACTGCATGTCCCATTACAATTTCAACAGTCTTCTGTCTGTCCTCTTCAAAGTGGACAAGGACCACACTGCAGGTAAAAACAAGACAAATATTTCATCAATACTTCAGTAGCCCTTATCTAATGTTACGACATTACATGTAACTGTTACTTGTGCTTATAGTAACACCACTTAGTTAATGCTTCTGGACATCAGTTAACTCCAACAGTGGCATCGTTATCTGGGTTGATTGAAATGTAAATTATGATAAGTGAAGCAACCTCTTATCTCTATGTTTAACATTGTTAACTATGTTAATGCAAGAATTAACTTAAAAAGGAAATTTCACCCAACAGTGTTGCAAATATGGTTGGTGGACATGTTTCTCCATGTTCTAGCGCAGTACCCTAGTCTTTGAATCGTTTATATTGTGGTCTTATTCTTAATATTAATAATCTATTAAGAATAAGACCACAATATTTTTAACGGAAAAGCTGGTGTCGCCCCCCTCCCCCTTTAGCATGCAGAAAAAATAATACATTCACCTCTCAGAAACAGGATCAACAGTGTGAACCCAGCCTCGATGTTCCCGCCCATCAACTGTCGTGACCTCTACCTCCTTATAAACATATGAGCGCCAAAATCCCGGGGACCGATTTTCAGAATTTGCAGAAAATTGTGACTGTTGCCTGTCCGTTTCAGAACTCATGGGCGCCGCCATCTTTGACGATGATGAAACGTGTGGACTGGTCCATTACAGAAGAAGGGGTTGTCAGGGTATGTTAATAATTTCCGGGGTCCATCATCATCATCCTCAACATGGCGGTGCAAAGGCAATCCAGAACAATCAAGAGTGTATTTCGTCTGTTTGTAATCGTAGGATTGTTAGTTTTTGCCCACGCAGCCTATTCAGCAGCACAGCGTACGTATCTCATGTGTTTCTTATCGTCATGTTTCCACAAAAGCTTTGGCCACTGGAATGGGAGTGGAACGACTCGATCGATAGCAAAAAGGACGGATGGAGCATGCACACATGGGTGTTACATGCACACATGGGTGTTTGCATGTAACACCCATGTGTGCATGCTGTAGCGTTACCTGATTTGTTCATGTAGCCTTGGTACCATCCTACTTGTATGCCGGGGCTCCCACGGGGCTCCAAGTTAGGGAAGCGAGTGTGGGAGCCCCGTCATACAAGTAGGATATGGTACCCAGGCTATTGTTCATGTGGATAATCTAATATATTTGTGCATTATGATATCGACTTCAAACAATTCTAGATGTCAATAACATTTTTTCTACACTAATGACAGGCTAAACATAAGGAACACTAACGTTATTATAAATAGAAATTTAATATTTTATGTTGTAACGTTATTTTTTGACAGGAATTGACACCCTTTCTGTTACCGTCCACAGACCGACTGTACCTTAGAATAACAGAGAGAGAGTTCACAGGACTACCTGCTGATGTAAGTATAGACTATAATTTTACATATTCCTTGACGATCAAAATGTTGATGATCATTCATAATCGTGATTTATTTTGTCGTAAAATGTCGCATCAACCAACATTTCTAGAAAATTTGAAACTTCTAGAATCTTACTTTCCACATTCTTGTAACCGTGTTACTCTTGATGTTGCCTTTAATACACAGATAGTAGTACAGATCATACTGGCATTCCTGGTGATATGCTGTGGACTCGTCAACATTGCAGGGGACTTCAGGGAAATAAAGGCTAGCAAGGAGCTGGAAGACAAGTATGTGATCTGACTTTAGTGGAAATGTTGCCTTGAACTGCAAATTATTATAACACATTTGACAATCTAGATCTATTGGTGCAACATAACTTGAGTAAACTGATCCATGAACCAACAGATTCAGATTCTTGCCAGTATCTATTTTTGTAATTTTGATGGACAAATATGCCCATAGCATCATGATGACATGCAACATTTTTAGATGAATTGTGTTTGATGGAGATAGCACCCTACATTGATAACATACATGATCAGATGGAGAAAAAAAGAGACTTTCTTTCACCCATGATGGCATCACTGTCTTCATCATTTTGTTGCTTGCCTAGATCTTGGGAGACCTTTGGGAATCAGTCATCATTCTACACATTCACCCACCGAGGCAGGGTCCTGTTCAGTGCTGTACCAGAACTGGAGGATGAGGCAGACCAGGAGGACTAGTAACAACCCAGCAACACTCAGCTGTTCACTTGAAAAGATGAAAAAATGTTTCCTCTATGTGCTTAGAAATTTGAGGTAGACCACAACATGCTGTAAAACATTGTTTCGTCTAAAACCTCAGCATACTTGAACTTGTTCTATTTTGTCTGGCAAGGCAAACTGATTGCTGTAAGTTTATATTCTATTAGACATGTTCTTACCACTGGTGGAATATTGTGATAGAAAAATATGTCTCCAGAAATGACAGTAGTGCTATTGCAGTAAGTAGGAATGTTGTAGTAGGACCCTGCATGTAACTACTGTACTCGAGTTTTTATCTCAGCATGCACATTTGCTGGAAGAAATTCTTCAGTAGTTTTAGTAAAAACAATTTGCCCACTGATGCAATGTTGAAAGTGTTGATGTGGGCTTGAAATTTAGTTATATAAGCTACTAAATAAAAAATCAGACACTCACAGTAAGTAAATGTATCATTACTATTAAAATAGAGGACCTGGTATATTGTATTCAGAGGTTTGCTCTCTGCCTATCAAAATGGACAAAATATGCAGATGTATGTACATAACTGTTATATAGACATGGTCATTTCTACACAGGATGTCTTTTTGACACTACGTTTTGCCACAGTATACTGCTCAAGTATTTTTCTCCCTGGTTATACATGTCTAAAGAATTAATAAAATTTATACATATTACTTGTGCTCATGTTAGGAATAAGAAGAGTTTTCTTAGGATCCCTGTTTAATTGTTGGAACATGTTAAAGATATCCTTGTGATGAAGCCATGAAATCAGTAAATTTGTCCTTGTCCACATTTTTTTGTTGTTATTTCAAATTGAAGTACCCATAGTCTATGCCCGAGGAAAGGCAGTAGGCATAAGTAAGTAAAGTTAAGTAGGGTAAAGTGAATAAATATTTATGGGTTTGGGGCACTAGTTTGGAGGAGGGGGAGGTATATTTGAGTTCCAGTTTGAAGGATAGTGTATGAGTAATCCATTCCATGATGTGATTAATGTAGTATTTTCTGGTATACGATACAGTTCCAATACATTGGAAGGTGAAGATGCGAGTAAGATAGCCATGTAAACTTAGTAGGCCCAAACAATGAAGCCATTAAAACACCAGAGAAAAGCTGTATTCTCAACATTTTTGTAAACGTGCAATAGAAAATCTAAAATTTCTTGTTCATGACACGCATGGTTTTATTACATGTCAACTTTCCTTAACTCTTTAACAAAAGTACCTTTGTGTCCATGACATGGTATACAAATTGAAAGTTTATTTTTCATTCAATTTGGTATCAAACTCGTGTAACAGATTGGCTTTGTAATGTAAGTAAAATGATTTAACAGCATCCTGGTACAGTCACATTGCAGAAATTACTGTGTATTGCTTGTTAAATTTATTTGATGGCATCAACAGCAACACAGGACTACCTAGCTGCAGGAACAGAAGACTTTAGGCCACTGCTAACAAAATAGTACATGGTAATAAGTTGTAATCAACCTAATATAGTATGCTGTTCAGTAACAAATCAGAGTTAGAATCAGCGGAGCAATGCATGGGCGATAACCTAATTTCATGGTGCCAATTACCTATATTAACTGCATGGTCCAAGATGGTACAAATGTGCTTTCTGTATATTACTGTGAAGGCTAGAGCAAAGCCATCAGCTGACAAACTGCTGCTGGTTTGTCATACTGTCATTATGCATTACTTATAACTATATTTTGTATATGCCATGTGGATTCAAACTCAGGTGTTATAAAAGATTACTAGACTACCTACAACTAAAATGTGTCTACATCATCCTGATGAACCAAAGACATTGGTGATAAAGTCAAAACTTATTTCTCTATTACATGTATATTTCACTAATATTATAATCAAGTTCTAACAAGACAGGAGGTACAATGTGGTATATGTAAGTGCAAGTGGTACTAGCATAATGCATTTCAAAAAGTTCCTTGGTTCAGCTGAGCTAGAAGAAGTCTGCTGCCATTGCCCTGCGCTTTGCTTTTCTCCGGACAGGGGGAGTTGTGCTGCTGGGTTTCAAAACACCCTGCTCTGGCTGGCGAGAGGAATCATAGGGGATGGCAACAGGTGCAGGGCTCACAGCAAGGCTCTTCTCATTCTTACGAAACTCTGAAAGCAACACAGTTTGTTCATTATTTCAATGATACTGTATTCTATCATGCCTTTATAGCAGAAAGCAAGTCATTTTAAATTGCAAACTCATCACATTTCAGTTATCCATATAAAAAAATCAGAAAGGAACTGTGATGACATGTGGAACCTTACCTTGTGTGGTGTTCTTGGACAGAGCGAATGCAACACGTTTTTTCCCTTCTATTGGCTCAGAGCTGGGAGCAGGAAGTCCATTTGATGATGACTGAAAAGGAAAAATTCTGATTAAAGATGTCCATGTAAGAATAGTGAACATAAAAGCTTGTCAGGTTATGTAGCAACACGTGCTATACTGCAGAGATGGAAGGCATGTATTAATGAATCAGTGACTGAGGACAGTATGGGAATCCTGAGCATAATGCAAAAGTTCCATTTGGACCAAGCAACTATTCTTAACTCTCATTTACTCTTCAATAAGGGCAAATTACCTTCTTTGGAGTCTTCTTCAATTTTGGTTCAGATCTGGGCATAGCTTTGCTGGCAGCTTTCCTGAAGAAAGATGGCGGAGTCACAGCAAACTTCTCAAACGATGCAAAGGCTTCCTTGTGTTCCTTGTTCTTCTTCTTCTTTTTTGGTGAAACTGGGCTGGATGATGCCTCATCTAGGCCATCAGGTAAAGATGACTTCCTTTTCTGCCTCTTGCCACTGTTAAGCTGGCTGGACTCATTGATGCTCTCTTCTTTGTTGTCACTGTCCTCAATAGCTCCCTCAAAGTATCGCTTCTTCCTCCTCTTCACCTTGGGACTTTGCTTAGTTTGCGAAGCAGGGAGCTTTGAAGATGGCTGGGCCTCACCTGGGACCTTCCCAGGTTCTTTGCCTTCAGATGATTGATCAGCAACACTATCCTCAGGGCCAGATAAAACAACCACTTCAACACAACTGTCATCTACTTTTGCCACAGACTCTACAGCTTCTTCCTTCGCTTCATCAAGGTATGCCTGGAATGCAGACCGTTTTTTAGGTTTTACTTTACTCTTGGTACCTCCCTTGGCAATTTCTTTCTTCCTTCCTGTACCTACTGACAACTTTGAATCAGTGCTTTCAACAAGTGCCTCACTTTGTGATGCTGTTTTCTCTTTTCCCTTTGTTTTTTTCTTGTGCTTCACACTTTTTGCACCCACTTCAGCATCACAAGCAGTATCACCATTTGTTTTGTGTTCTTTATCCAACATTTGTTCTGCATTTCTTCCTGCCTCTCCTTGTTTACCTCCCAACTGTTTCCTATCTGCACCTCGGACTGCACTCAGACAGTTCATTTCCAAATCTTTGCCCTCTCCAGACTGTTCTACCTTTTTGGCCCTTTGACTTTGCTTCTTTCTCTTCTTTTTTCTTTTTTTCACATCCTCTACATGCCCATCCTCTGTTGAGATGATGGGCACATGTTGGTCCTTCTTTTGGGCTTTCTTCTTCAGATGTTCCCCTTCATCCTCATCAGACTCACTATCTAACAGCTGCAGCAAGTTCTGATCTGGGTAAATGCCTGAAATGGGGAGTAAAATTATTTAGAATTGTAACACAGTTGTAAACTGATATCATATTTAATCATTATTCCTTGAAACAGTGTTTGGAATGCAATAACTTATGGACAATGAAAACTATGTTTACCTGAGGCAGCATCTTTAAACCTGAAAAAGAGGACAAAAAATAGATCAGACTCAGTACCTTTACGTGAAAGGTTCCAAACTGACATCATACAATCCATAACATGTCCTCTTATACATGTGCAGAAAAATTCAACATATATTTGGGTCTTACTTTTTCACCCAGCTGTACATCAGTCTTCTGTTCTTATTGCGTGTGTCCTTCTGGCTGGCCATCATGAATAACTGGTCTGCTATGGCTGCATGGTCAAACTGGAGATAGATGCATCGACAAATATGTAAAATCTCAGAATACAGAATATGGGACAGTTATGTAATCAAGTTTCATCAATTCATAAGAACACAATAACTCATAATAACACAATGTGACATGCTTATATTTAGCAGATGACTCAGGTGTTAAGGGTGGCTCCTCATAAAAGATACAGATATGAAACACATCTGTATTACTCTTATGCCAAATATTATGAATGCTTAACTTAGAGAGGTATCATTTCTTTGACATTTGGATAAGTTATAAAGTGTATTTTGACACTCTTATTGACTTAAATTCAGAGTGTACCCTCAATGTGGCCTTCTCTTCCACTTCATCATCATCATCATCATTATCCTCTCCCTTCTGCTGCTCATCCTCCTCCTCCTCCTCCTCATCATCATCATCATCATACTCTGTCTCCTCGTCCTCCTCCTCTCCTTGCAGTTTAGCAGGAACTGTAAAGTCAGCCCTGCTGATGATCTCGTCCAGCACGCTGGTACCAATACTCTGCAGAAGGGTCATGCTGGACAAGGAAACACTTCCATTAGAGAAAGAATAACTGCTACATACAAATCTTGGTTAAATCGACACAGAGTTTCATATCATTAATCAGTAATCTTTACTGATGAAGATCAATCAAACCAAGATTCATAAGTATCATACTAGTATCCTGGATGAGTAACCTTCATCCTTCATCCTTCATAAATGTGATAACTGCTACAGTTGCAGCTGACAGCTTATATATGGCATTCTGGTAGATGTAATAATCATTGATTGATATTGGTGATATTTGCTCTTTGTCACTTGTACATGCAGTGGTCGAAATACTTTTTTTCAGTGCTCTGCAATATTGCAGAAGAGTCAAAATTTTGTTCTGCAATTTGGAAATACTTTCTGCAAATACACAAGCCTCCATACTACAATCTTGCAGGTTTATAACCATGAACTATTGATTGATATGCAAATTAGTGAAGACAAATTTTTGGAAGTCCAAAAAGAAACAAAAGATGGACAAGTCAAGACAAGGTTGATGCAAATTAGTGAAGAAGCTCCTGTTGCTTCAGAACAGGAGCTTAAGTGTTGTCTGTCCTTGGGGCCAAGAGCACCAAATCCCAAGTGCCAATTTTTCCTGCTGCAAAATTGCAGATTGTATAAATTTTTCTTCTGCAAGCTTGAAAATCTATCTGCAGATTGCAGACTGCAGACAGGTATTTCGAACACTGACATGTAATAATCATTAATTGATATTGCCTCCAAAGTGCCCAACTTTATGTCATCAAAACATGATATTCCACCTTGCAAATTCTAAGAAGTGTAGCTGACTGACTTACTTGTCTGACACTTTGAGTATCATGAAGAATGGTGTCAGGAATGGTAGTAGCTCCTGGGGACTTAGCTGTGCAAAGAATAGAAAAGAATGTTGTTTGTTACAATTACCTAAGCTGTTGAACAAACAAATCACATGATGTAGAATTATAAATCCACAGCTGTTTGGGTCTTCCTGACTTCAAATTTGTAGAGGGCCATGAATTCTCCAACATACTGTATATGGGATCACTCATACAAACCTCCTGTCCTCCAACTGCTTCCAGTTCTTCCACCCAGATGTCACAAATGTGGTATCTGATACCATTGGGAACCTCCTCAGTAGAGGTAGACATGGGTCCCTCCTTCATGATAGTCATGAATCTGTCAGTCAACCGTGCATCCCACTGATTCTGTCTCAGGAATTCAAGACACTGAGACACCATGTTTCGAACTAACTGAAGAAGGAACAATGCAAATACAAACAATGAGGCTCCACAGGTTCACAAATAATGGCAACAGATATTAAAATGTTTAATAAACATTGTTGCATCTCATCCTTAATTTACTCAATATGTTGTGGCAGTATAATAAACACATGTACGTCAACAACAACAAACCTCGTCAATTAATTTTACATTGTTACAGTGTCTTCTATATAACAGCTCCAAAAAAATTGTCAAAATCTTGACATGATAAAAAAAAAACTGTCTTCATATAGGAATTACTAGACTTATTTACCATGAAGAACTTGTCCATCCTGAGGTGGTCAATCCCATTCCATTCCCTTATCATGGTTTTGAAGAACACTTTGATAAACAGGAAAACTGGAAAGGTAATTGTATAGAAAATAATATTGAGTTTGTTTGCTGCAATTAACTATTAAGCCTGTGCAAGTGCAACAGAGAATTTGAGAGAAAAACAAAGAGCAATGTGACTTACAGCTATGACTTTTGTTAACTTAATAGAAAGAAATTTTAAACAGTTATTTCATTCATAGGAAAATAAGGTTTGTAAACCTGTATCTTCATTCTTCAGGCAGTGGAGAAGTTTTGACATTGTGTTGGCAAGCTCTTCCTAAAATAAAGAACAGAAGAATATTAGCCAGTGTTAGCTTAATATTTTTGTAAACATGAACAAATCTAGTATTTGCAGTGATTTTCTGGCCCTTGAATATGATCGTATTTATTCCAGTTATCATTCATTGCATTTCAAATTATGTTTAAAAATAACTGCAAAATGTACCTGAACCAAGGGCTTGTCTGACATCCACATGCAATAAAACAGCCCCTTCCAAATCTTCAGCATGTCATCTTCTTCAAATCCTCCTGAGTTGAGGTAGATTGTGTCATTAGTACAGGTATAAATATTATGTATCTAACGTTACATTATAAATATCTGGATGTAATTGTTTTATCTACAACATATGGGTGACTTTAATATACAACATGAAACTCATTGCTTCTCCGCTCAGGGGGTATGAATAACGTCGTAACCAACATACCTGTTACTTTCACTGTTGTTTCAAAATTTTTATCAAATACAACATGTAAAACGTCTCATATACATAAAACGTACTTTATCAAGACACAACTAAATGAGTTTAAAATAATGTAGCTGTGTAGGATGTCACTACATACATCTACTTTGAACCTTTGATATGATTTGAACCTTTGATATGCTTGAATATTCCTCAATCTATTTCGAGCCTTTGATACGCCGTACTGCCGCTGACTTCAACAGTTACCTGTGCACCGGTCCCCACGTGCACCCCCACTTTGAGACTTTCCAGGGACCCTTCCCAACCACATGCACACCACTGTATCTGTTTTTACGAAGTACTCACCGCCCCTTGCTTGGGATCTTGCTTCCAACCATTGCCGTAACTTCTTCACCGCTTTATCCCGTATTTTTTTCTCGTTCGCCGCCAGGTGTTGGGCAAACTTCACCTCCGGCGCGCGTGCCTGGCCACGCTTTTTCCCGAAAGCAGCCATTTTGCCAGTTTTTCGGGTCAAAGGGTAATTTTGAACCGGAAATCCTCGTACCCAGAACAGCCTGCTATAAAATGTAGGTTTCCCCTTCAGATTCAGAACAAGTTGATGATTTTTATCTTCATATTAATCTTTGCTTAACAAATATTACCGCATTATGTTTTTTTTTATGTATTGAAAGTGAGAAACGTGTTGGAAAAGTGCTAAGATCCTGGGTACGAGTTGGTTGGCTATTCCCGCGAGAGTTGCACCTCGAGGTGGACATCGTGAGGGAAAAATGGCGTCGGGAGATTCTACGGCAGCAAAGGTTGGAAACAAGCAAGTCAAGGTGTCTCAGGAGCAGGTCGTGGCGGGGTTTAACCAGCTACGAGAGCAGCAGAGAGCTGTAGCTTCCAAATGTTCGGAGCTTGAGATGGAACTCAACGAACACAGGTAACGTGGACGGTGGTGCTTGCAAACTGATGACCGGTCATAACGTGAAACATGACTACCAGTAGTACCATGGTAGTTCCAGTCGTAGAAATTATGTCTGTGAGATATTTATCCATTTCAAATTGTCTTTTGGTTGTTCGTCTGTTAGTTTTCTCATATTTGGCTGATATTTTTCACAAACCAGGCCACATTTCCTTCCTTGTCTACTGGCATTCCAGGGAAAATTTTCATCTTTGTAATACCCCCCCCCCCTTACCTCCTGGAATGCCTCGGATGATATTAAAAAAAAAGCAATGATGTAAAATGAACATAATCTAACTCCAGGCTGTGATTACAGAACGTCACATTGAATTTGTCTTTTACACACTTCGTACACAGCAAACTGGTTGCAGAGTGATACAAAATTATACATGTAAATGTAGATATAGTGATGCAACATGACAATTTTAAAACAGTTTCATATGTTTGCATTTATGAAGTGCCACAGCAAGTCTACGAAAGCCATGCCTTCCGCACTGGTGTTCCAGTGCTGATTCAATGGACAAAACGGCGTCAGACGAGAGCCGAGCACTGGTGTTCCAGTGCTGAACGGCCTTTTCCCAGTGCTGAAGCGCCCTCACCACTGGTGTTCCAGTGCTGAACATTGTCTCAGCACTCGGTTTCCAGTGCTGAAATCCTTTCAGCACTGGTGTTCCAGTGACAGAATTCTGTCAGCACTCGGTTACCAGTGCTGAACGCGCGGCAGAATGGCGGCAGAGAGGTTCAAAGGTCATTCAGCACTGGTTACCCAGTACTGAAAACGCCATCAGCACTGGGATCGAGTGCTCATATACAAAAGCCACGCCTTCCGCACTGAATTTTACCAGTGCTCGGGGACAATTCAGCACTGGAACACCAGTGCTTTAAAATCTTAAGCTCTGGAACACGAGTACTGACGTCCTTTCAGCACTGGAACGCTCTTCAAACCAGTGCTGGCGTCTTGGCATGTCCAAGTGCTGAGAGGGATAATATGATTAAGAAATAACAATAAGCCGGAATCTGCCACTTTAATTTGAATTATAGAATACAAGGTGTCTATGGCTAACTTTATAACATAATAATAAAACTGCATCTTGTGATTATTTTCCTTAATTTTAGAAAATACATTTAGAAAATTTAGAAAATGTATAACTTGCCTGTCTATTCTACAACGAAATACTTATTTTGCTCATGCACAAATGATACATATATAACTTTAGTGTCTATTCTACAACGAAAAATTTATTTTGTCCATGCGCAAATGATACATAGAACGTACGTGTCTATTCTACGCCAAAGACTTCAATGTCGCCTGAGCACTCGGGTTCCAGTGCTGACGCCAGCTTTTCCAGTGCTGAGAGCGCCTCAGCACTGGCAGTCCAGTGCTGACGGCCATTCAGCACTGGAAGTCCAGTGCTGAAGCCACTTTCCGCACTGGAACCGAGTGCTGAAAAAGGAGAGCGTGGTTTTCGTAGTTTTGCAGTACCACAGAATAAGAACTACATAGGCATCACTACATAGTCCCCATAGACTTAAATTGGGGCCTAATGTTGCATGTCCTTTGTTTTAGGTTAGTGGTTGAAACATTGAAGGATGTGGATGGGGATAGGAAGTGTTTCCGGATGGTCGGAGGTGTGCTGGTAGAGAGGACAGTGAAGGAGGTGTTACCAGCCCTGGAACATAACATGGAGCAGGTAAGGCAACAGCTCATACTAAATTCAGAGTAAATACCCATTAGTCACATTGTATTTGATCTGGAACATAGCATGGAGCAGGTAAGGCAACAGCTCATACTAAATTCAGAGTAAATACCCATTAGTCACATTGTATTTGATCTTTCCAAAGCTTGTTTGCTTTTTACTAAACTTATTGTCTTATTTTGCCATCCTAAATGCAGCTCAGCAAATTGATAGAGTCCTTAAATGCACAAGTGGTCGCAAAAGGCGAGGAGCTGACAAAATACCGGGAGAAGTACAACATCAAGATCAAGGGTGAAGACGAGACACCCAAAGGCACAGAGTCATCTGGAGGTGGCAAGGAGAAGTCTGGCACACAGGGCATCCTGGTGTCCTAATGGAAGGAGATCCGAGTGATAGTTGTGGTGTCAGTTACAGCTGTCCGCTTCCAGGCCTATATGGAAAACAGAAACAACGAAATGTGGTGGTTACCAGTCTTTATGCAAATAGTTATTTCAGCCATTTGTATGTTAAATATAGTACTCAGTATTCCAACTGATTTGTGTGGGCATCTAGAAAGCAAACAAAGGCTTTTGAATTAGTGGACACCACTATTGAATTGTTAAAATGGAGTGGTAATAAAACCATTAAAATGAAGGCAGGGAGTCCAATTGTAACATATGAACTGGAAACTAAGACTCAAAATTAAGGCTGAGATTGCCTTATAACAACAGGAAATTTTCGAGTGGCAACATTATTTCAAAGCCAGTGCACTGATCATGGATTTAATTTCTATGGCTATAATTACTACACACCACACCACAACTCAAAACACCCTTATGACAAAAAGGGTTAAATGTTCAGACTAGCACAATAGAAAAATAATTGAATAAAATGTTTGCAAAAACAGACCCCAACAGTGCCGGCTGTTATACTAGTATGTGCATGTTGTTTTTTGTGCTTGTGTGTTTGGTGTATAACCTTACATTGTTACAATACAATATTTGTTAACCTTACAAGTTCTGTTTAGATGATACAATTTCTGTGTAGACCTTTTTGCACACATTTTTCATAAAGATTTTGTATAATGTATTATTGTGTCAGTTATCACTTATGTCTATATAAACAATGTAATGTATGTGTTTTTTTCCTTTGAATATTTCTTCTCAACAAATAAAAGAGTGCAGATATGGTGCTACAGTGTGTTTGTTTGTATCTCAACTATTTTCTTGTGTTAGACAACCCAGTTTGTGGCAGTGTAATCTGCATTTTCTCCCCCCCCCCATAATCCATGAGGAAAAATCATCAAGTAAATACTTTTCACCAGCATACGAAGAGTATTGTAAAACATACCCAAACCCAGATCTATACAGGTACAAATTGAATGTCTTCAGTGTTCATAAGCAGAAATATTACGTCACCAAATTGCTGAATATGTAGCTAAATGCAGCATGCTCAAAGGTTATGGTAAGCATCATTCTTAAGACAAGTGACCAGTGACATGCCCATTTATTCTTAAAAGAGCTTCAAAATACATGTATATGTTCCAGTATGCCAGGTGGAGATTCATATTGATAACTTTATTGAAATTAACACAGAATTTAAACTAAATAAAACAGCTGCCCCCATAGCCACAGTACAGAATAAATGCATGTCTACCAAGCTCCTATCTGACAGGTAGAAAAATAAATCTTAGAGCAACAAAACTTTCCCTATCTATTAAACATACTTTCAAAATATGGAAACAACCTAAGTTGTATAAATATATATGTCTTCATTCTTCATTTTAATAATGCACAAGTTTCTCCCTCTTAGGTGGAATATCATATTATTAAAGACTCATAACTTTGTCCGCAGTGTCATCTCTACCAGGGGAATTTATTAATACTATTGGATATTTGATATCAAATTCCCATCTCTACTTTAAACACCAGCATCAGACTCTGATTCAGAGGCGCTACCACCACAGTCAGAGTCAGACATATTGCCACCACCAGTGCCAGAAAAGTCAGAAGCACCATGAAGAGGATTGGATGCAGCAGGGAAAATAGACACAGGAACAGCTTGGGCTCGTCCATATGGTACCATACTGGGAAACATGTCCTGACTGTTGTCTCCTGACATTACTGGCTGCTGGAATAAGGAGACCTGCTGATGGACACCAAAGCTCTGTTGTCTCTCCTGCTGCCTTAACTGCCTGGAGCGCCTCGAGTACTTGGTGATCAGCTTGAATGACTGGGCTTGGAAATCATCCCACAACTATGAATATAAAAAGAGCACATTTATGAGTAGTTTGAATGTAAAATTGAAGAGTCTTTTGTTGTAAATGATTTGTCTGAAGGTCAACAACAACAAAAGTTAATACATGTATCATAATGATAAAGATATGGTTACTTACACTTTCATGGATCTCTGGCAGACATGAAGTGATCCATGCACCCCACTGTGTCTTGCTGGACAGTGGAACCTCTGGCACTGGACCGGACAGATGTGGAGTCATTTCTGTCTGGAGCCTTTTTGGCTCCCCAGCTCTGTCTGTAAATTTGTGTGAGAGGGCTTGCCTTGGCTTCAGCTCCTTTTTCCTCCTCTTCACCACAGGCTGACTGGTGTACCCACCAGTGGAGGTTCCTGCCTCTCCTGGAGTGGACTGGAGGGAGACGGGAGTGCCGGTCCTGTCCTCCTCATCATCAACATCATTAAGTTCCTCATCAGTAGCATCACTATTGGCCCTAGTCTTGACAGTCTTGTCCTTTGCCTAAAAAATAAATTAGAAGTCACAAACATCATTTTGAATGTTGTAAATATAACGACCCAATGTAGAAATATGTAGAAATGTAAAACTGATGTGTCCAAAATGAAATAAAAACTTCTCACACCAACCCTATTGTTAAGGTGTCTGATGATATGGCCGTCCAGAAAGCCAAACCTCTGAATGATCCATCTCTCCCGAAATGTTAGGTGTTCCTTCTCTTTATATCCCTCCTCTGATAATTTTCCATACCTTGTCCTCATTGACTGATACCATCTCTTGACAAGGTCATCTGCAGATTGATAATATGCAAAGAAGTATTTACTTATGACTAAATGAAGAGAGGGTACCATACAAGAAGGTTCAAAAGGGTCTGGAAATACATTGTATTTTTGTAAATAGAAAACTTTTAATACAAACCTTCATTTGCACTAATTTTTGTGATCTGACATAGAATTGATATAGACTGCATTAGACTTTGTCTATTACTATGTATTATATACATGTTTCTAATTTGGTCTTAGTCAATTATTAATATCTCTGTTCATTATCACTGATTAATGCTAACTAAGTCAATGATATCTAAATCGGTTAGGTCAGGTCAGGGAGCTTTAATCAAATGCCTGGTCAGGTGGATTGATCATATACATCACATCCAAACGCTCACTGACACAGATTCAAACAAAGGGGAAGAAAGTTTTAGTGTGCCATCAAGACAAATGTACAACCTATTAAATATACCCCAAGTGAAAATGAGAGCAAAAACAAAAGTATTGCCTTTGCAATGTTGCTGGGTGTACACCGTAGTCACTATAATTTGTACTGTCCTACAACACTCACAGTCCACACCGAGCTCCCTCCCCTTCTCCATCCAGAGTTCTTCCTTCTTCTCCTTCCCCTTGAACCCCCTGTTCGCTCTGTCATAAAACTCAGGATGATCACGGATCCATTCGGCCAACGCCTCCTCTTCTTCTTCGTTCAGTTCCAGGCACTTAAAAGCACCCTTCTTCTTCTCCGTGCCTGGATGGCTTTTTGGCTGGTCCCATGAGTTGTTCCACACGACGTCAGTTGGCCGGCCGTCGGGGTCGCGCTTAATTGCCATCCATAACCCCCTCGTCCCAGGCTCTGTTTTGCTCCGTGAGCTGACAGTCTGTTCCCTGACCTTGTGGCATGTGCTGGGGAGCCTTGCTCTTCCGGCGGTCATTACTCCCATTAGTTTTGACCATTTCAAACTTGGTCCTGGAATGGTACAGCTTACCTAATGAGTTCAAGTCGATCTCAAAGCCGTCGTTAAGAGCAAAAGGGTGGCCAAACTTCAAAGAAATCGGTGCCACGCAGGCCGAACAGCAAACCCGAGGTCAGCAGTCGTGCGGACGTCGTAGGAAGCAGTGGTATGTCGTATTACGTCGTGCTAGACCGTGATGCAGTTCGTGCTGGGGTGTTGCATCACCTTGTTACGTCGTACGAGTTCGTACGGGCGTCGTGTGTGCATCGTAACAAGTCGTGTCGATTCGTACGAATGAATTCGGCTCGGGAAAATTTTATGTAAGATTTTTACTAAATTCGTGATGAGCCAAACAAACCGTTTTAGGGCCTTGCGCCCAATGACTGTTACATCTGTTACTCTCCAAGCAGAGGTTTGGGTTTTGGGGGTATTTTTAGCGTGTTTTGGGGCTTTTTTATCGGGGTTTCTCTTTGCATTCCCACCAAACCCAACGTTGGGTTTGGTGGGAAAAAAATAAGTGCAAAAGAGAAACACGCTAAAAAATACGCCCAAAACCCAAACCTCTGCTTGGAGAGTGTGTTACATCAGAAAAGTGTGATAAATCGAACAAGAAAAATTGTTTAAACGCGCGTCGGCTCAGTCATCTTAAGACGCAACAACCAATCAGAGATGCGAGATGCCGACACGTGACGCGGGATTTGCATACAGTCTAAACAACGGGGAAAGGGCGCGCGATGCCCGAAATATTTTAGCGTCAATATTCAGCGCCGTGATTCAAGAGATTAATACCCGGAAACAATTTCTTTTCTTGTTTTGAACACATTAACATGCATTTACGCTATTCTAGTATGATTCAGGGTTACTTTTTTTTAACCTGCCATGGCCAGATTATCTAAAGATGTGTGTATTGTGTGTATCTACAGAAAGAGAAATGTACATCAGGTCCGATCATCCGATTTTCACGTTTCGGTTTTTTGGACTCGGTTCATGAACGTATTTTGGTTTGGCTCCTGGAATGTGCGAAAAAAATGACTCCCGGGACTGTCTACAGGGAACACTCGCACATTCGCGGTGCACCAGGACAGCGCGACTGGTCGGCATTAGCGCAGTCCCTGCAATTAGTAACAGTTGCATAAACGGACGAAAACATTTCAAAGAAATGGTGATGTTTCGAAAATAAGCATTTTCTCCAATATCAAAACAGCTACGGTAAAAATAAAAAGACGTGCATCATCCCGGACATAATGCCACACCACATGCGAAATTACACAGAAATGCGACGTACGGAAGAATGCGTTTTGGCTGCGAACATCTTCCAAAAAACTTGTCATCTCTTAACCATGGGCAAAAACATCTGGAACCACTTATCAAAACCACCCCGTATCTGCATGAAGTTCCACCCCCCCACTGCTATTCCAAACAACGCGTTTTCTGGACCATTCCAATTCGCCTCGTAATTGTAGGGGTGCGTCTGCAATATTACATTTGACCGCGAAAGCAGCAACGGCAAAAATACACATTCGTGCATCAACACGGGAATGCCCGCAGACGGCGTATAAAATTGCGTGCCGATTACACAAAGAGAACCCAGTGTTTGACTGCGAACATGAAAAATCAGCCGATCACAACACTCCGTCCGGAGGTCCTGACCTCCTTCACGGAGTAACAAGCTAATCTATGTAACGTTATCTCGGTAGTAAGTTTTGTAAAACTGCTGAACGAGAGCTCTCCAGTGTCAGGTAGACTTGGTTCCCCATATTTCGGGAACGCGTCAGACTGCCTGCAATTTTCCAGCATTCAGTCAGGGAGCGCAATTGCGCGGGCTGCTTTTTCCATCAAGTTTGCGATAGGCCTAGGAAAAAATGTTGTTTCCCGTTTCAGTCCTGAGAAAAATAGGGTCGGTAGGTAGGGATTATCTTTTTTTTGTTAGACAGTGGCAATCTCTAGTGATTGAACTTATTCAATACACTTTAACAAAGTAAAACTTGCATGAAGACACTTATATTTTCAATGTCAATGTTTCAAAACTGATTGTACAACGTTTCATTCCTCACATGTGAGATCATGGAGCTAGAAAAGGTCAATCAGCTCGAAAAATGTATTTCCCTTGCAGGGGTCCACAGAAAAAAGTCTAGGGTCGTCAGCTTTTTCTAGGGTCGGTCGGGAAACGCAACATTTTCCCCAGGTCTTAGCTAGAATTATTTGATGCCAGTCTGCAGAAGAAGCTGAGTGTAACATCCGCAGTGCCACACCCACCCCACGCACCCTAGCCAGGGGATGGAGAAGAAGAGGAGTGCGAAAAGAAGTAGTCCCCATCCCGTTACCAGGGCACGATGGGCTCACAACCAACCAGATACCTAGGGTGGGCGGGTGCGGAGCTTCAAAAGTATCCCGTTCCCAATCTCCCTTTTTTGTGACCCTTTCCCTAGCCCAACTCCCTTACCTACCCCCTGCTCTGAGCTCTCATCTACCTCTCGTGTTCCTCCTGCCTCCCCCACTACCAACTGCGCGCCTTTTCCTTATTCCCACGTTCCTTATATATTCTCGGCCTCATTTGCATACGCACTCATTTACATAAGTCTCCTGATTTGTCTGATCCTAAATTTGATTAGTTTCATCGCCTGTCTGAGGCGCGCGGGACAGGTGTAGCGCTGCCAATTCTAGTATAACGTTAGTTTCTTTTTGGTAAGCAACGTGGTCAGAAATGTTTTAACTGATTCATTATTGAATTCAACTCAAAATATTATAATTGTACTTAGCATCTACCATCTAGATGTTTTTGTTGTCACCAGCCTTTGATCGAAATGGTATAACGCTATTCCAGTACAGGAGTGGCTGAATTGATTTATCTTGTGTTCTTTTGTTGTCACTTAGACTTTTTCATATAACCCACTTTTTTTTATATAACTGACTTTTTCATATTTTTCATATACTAGAAGTGGGTACCTTGTCCTAGAGTAGATGCCAAATATATGAATTCAGGGAATACCCACTCTAGGCAGGCAAGTCAAAATAGTAGATTGTATAAATGAAAAAGACAAGGATACCATGATATTTATATGAAAAGACACATTTATTACAAATGATGTTTTGTCTGTGGTGTGACTAAAATTGATAACTGATGAAAGAATGCGTCGACGAAGGTTAGACATCCAGGTAATACGATACGCCAAAAACAGTTACTCAAGCAACTGGATATGATTTTGAAAACGTCAGACGTTTCAGCTAGTATCCACTAGCTTTCGTCAGTGACTGAGAGACCAGAGGGGAAAGCAGGTTTATAAGCACAACCTATTGATTGATATGCAAATAAAGTGAAGACAATTTTTTTTGAAGTCGAAAAAGGAACAAAAGTCAGACAAGTCAAGACAAAATGATGCAAATAGTCTGAAGCTCCTGTTATACAGAACAGGAGCTTAAGTGTTGTCTGTCCTCGGGGCTGGGAGTGCCAAATCCCAAGTGCCGGAAAGATCGACCCGTAGCCCCCCTTTCCTGCTGAGGGTGGGGTTGTACATTCTTTCATATATTGCCTCTTTAACACCCCGTTCCCACCAGCGTGTTTCGCGGTCTAAGAAACACGTCCCACATGATTTAATCCACCTGGCTCTGCAGAGGTACCACATACCACAACACATCTGCAACTACGTGAAAGCATTCTACAACAATCTAACTGCCCAGGTGCGGTGCCCAGAGTTTTCCTCTGACCCATTTCAGCTCAATGTAGGTACATTCCAGGGGGATACACTGTCTGTTGCAATCTTTCTACCTGTTATCAACCTGCCATTGGAATACCTACGCTCAGAAGCAGCACATGGCTACACGCTAAAGGACAAGACACATGTGACCTTTGCGTTTGCCGACGACCTAGCATTGACGATATCCAGGTCAAGATCACTGCAACGAATCTTGAACACATTGGACAGAAATCTACGGAGCATCCACTTGTACCTGAAACCCAAGAAATGCAAAACCCTCAGTATATGTGGCGGTTCAGCAAAGGACGTCGCTTTCTGTATCGGAAGTCACCCCATGGACAATATTATCAAAACTCCTTTCAAATTCCTTGGTGGATACGTCACAGCTAGAGGCTCAGCAGGTCAGGTCGCTGACATCCTGAGGGAATCAATCATAGGCTCAAAGGAAAAGAATGGAATTATAATGAACATCGACGAATCACCCATTAGAGGAGAGTACAAATGCGAGATATACAGAGTCTATGTACAAGGTGCCATCAAGTACCTACTGTCAGTCCATGACACCACACGCTCTCACTTACAGAAACTGAGTAGCAGCGTCACCCAGTACCTGAAGAAATGGGCTGGCATGAAGAGATCTGCTAACTCCGGAATCCTGTACCATAGCCAGGGTCTAAGCCTTATCTCAGTAGAACAGATCTATCTACAGCAACATGCTACAGTCATTGCATCAGCTGTGACAATAGGTTATGCAAGTGTCCAGAATGCTCTGCAAGCAAAAGTAGAAGGGAGGAACTTCACCCGCAAGAGAACAGGCAACTTGGAGTGCCACACTCTTGTGAAAGACACACTTACATCACTGTCAAGTCCCAACAGTAATGACAACCAAGC